TTTATTTTTAAAGGAATAATCACATCTGTTTTATTTTTAATTTTAACAGTAAACCTCTGTTGTGCAGCACTTTGTTTGCCAAAAAAATAAAAGGGTTTCATTTTCATTTGATTATAAATTCAATGAATGTTTTATGCCTTCATCTGATTAACAGAAAAATTAAGAACATTTTATAGGGCCCTACTATTGTTTAAAAAGGACCCTATACAAAAAAAAAAAGAATAGGTTTAAAATATAGGTTCTTAATTTCCTTTTATTAATTCACTATTTGTAAACTGATGTTTACTGTTAATTTTTTAGAAATATCAATAGCATTTGTATTAAAACTATATTCACTGAATGTAATAAAAAAAAATATCGAGAATCGAATCGAGAGCTTGCGAATCGAAATCGAATCGAATCGGGATATCTGAATCGATACCCAGCCCTAGTAAACAACCTTTTGTGGTTCTGTGGATGTTAAAGGTTCTTCATGGAACCAACACTGCAAAAAAATAAAAAAATAAAAAATAATAATAATAATAAAATAAAAAAAATAAGAGTGTAGGATGTACATATGCCCTCAGAGGTTAGTAAAGTTTAGGGTTACATGCATTGCTCATCTAATGTTCCTGTAGAGTTCACTGTTCATTCCCAGAAAATAAATGAACAGATAAGTTCATTTGAATGCAGTGTATGTCACTTTAGATAAAACCATCTGCTACATGCATTAATGCAATGAAACATCTGATGTAAAGTGTTCTGATAAATGATGTGAAATTACATGGTGTTTCTTAGTAAGTCTTTAATGCTGATATTTGGCACACAAATAGTGAAATTTCTACTCAAATAATAAGCAGGATGATCCAGTCCTCAGCTTTTTTTAGGGTCTTGATTGTCCTGTTAGGCTTAATTTTGTGATAATGACCAGCGGACTGCACATTAAACTATTATATGACACGGTTCATGTTAGTTCATCATAGTATCACAATGAGTTATTATGATTTATTTGATCTTCTCGCTTTTCTTCTTGTTGTCCTCTTACACCTGTAAGAAAAAAAAAATTCAGTTTAGCCAGCACTTCCATTGTGTAATCAAACAAACAAACAGTGTTTTATGTGAAGATGTGCTGCAGTCTTAGTGTTTTTGATTGCGATCGCATCACCTTAAGCGCAGCAGTACATGCGCACGTCATTGAGAGCGGTGTCGTCTCCAGATCCCTGCGGCTCTTCTATCCGTGTCTTGATACCACAAATTCCTGTTCCCCAACACATTTGACTCCAGTCGCCCCAATTGTCCCAGTGTGTGCCGTCACCATATAAATACTCCCGACTGCATTTGAACCTGGAGAAAATTCAGATGTGACAATATTATGATAATCATAAAAAACAATACCAAAATATTTTTTCTCTTTGCTATATGTAAAATCATTATGTTCAGTTAACTAATTTTTATCATTAAATATTAATTAATAATGAAGGCAAACACACTCTTGGAACCGAATGCAGTTTTACCAGGTTTGTGTTTGATGGTTATGTTTATACAATAGTCAATGACTACCGTCATATGCTTCAAGTTGTTCATAATCTGTGAGTTTTTTTTCTTCTGTTAAGCACACAAGAAGATATTTTGAAGAATGTTGGTGAACAAACAGTTGATGGTAGCCATTAAATTCCATAGTATTTTGTTTTTCTGTACTATTGAAGTACATTCTTCAAAATATCTTCTTTTGTGCTCAACAGAAGAAAAACTCATACAGGTTTGTAACAACTTAAGGGAGAGTAAATGATGATAACATTTTCATTTTTGGGTGAATTACCCCTTTAAAACTTTCATGTTAGTCCAAATATGTACAAGCCATGCTCACATTCACTGATATTAATTATACAGAGAAAAAACAATAACAAATAAACAACAAAAAAAACAAAACAGTATGACTTGTACCACCACATACTCACATGATGTTGTTTGCGGCCGTGTCATCTCCAAATAATTGGTATGATTCGACTCTCAACTGAAAAGCAGTCAAGAATCCACAAGCACACCATTCGATATCTGTCCACCAACCCCATCTGTGGACAAACACAGTTTTATTTAAGTCAATTATTATTTTCAAGAAAATCATTTAATTTGTAGCGCCTCCTAACCCTTAATCCAAGAATTCTTAATAAAACCTGCTATAACTAGTTGTATTACTCAGAATCTGAGCCCTTTACCTTCCTACTTCTGACTGAACTGAGGTGTAGTCCTCAAATTAGCCCTTCAAGACACTTGATAGACTTATACAATGAAGACGGATCCCAGTGAGTCCTTTGTTGTCATCCCAAAAACCATAGGAAGGCTCATCAACCTTAAAAAAACAAAAAAAACACGACAATCCTCCATTTGAAAGAGAGAGCCACAAGCAATGTTTTAGAGTTAACTCAAACACAAACCATAACATTTTCATGTTCTTTAGTAATAAGCAGGTACTTAATGAAATCTTAAGCAGATCTGCATCTGGAGACACCAGGATATAAACTACTAACAGCGACTGAACCTTCAGTCACCAGTTCACATGTTTAACCACTAAGAAACTCCCATATTACCGTAATCCAGTCATTGCCCAATTTACCTTTAGACTAAACCCTGCAGCGTATGTTCCATTTGGACAGATGTCGATATAACCCCACGACCCCCACTTCATCCCATTCGGCACAGTCAGCTCCGATCTGTAATATCTGCTGACTCTTCTCTCAGAACGTCTTCCAATGGACTGAACACTCACTTGCAGCCCAATAATGACTAACATTAAAGAAAGGAAGTGATGCATTGCTGCAGATCGATAAAATTGACAAAAAATACTGATGAAATTAATTCTGTTAATGAGACTTCAGAACTTCAGAATAAATTTATACGGTTCTTTAATGTTGTGATATCCTGGTTCTAGCCAATCAGTGGCCAGGAACACCGAGCGCTCGGAAATAACCTGCATGTAAACATGCAAAAATACAAACACTGATCCAACAAAAATATCTGTAGGCCTAAGTTTGACCGTTAGTGACCATGGAAAGTGTTTTACTTGGTGATGTGCCTCTAAAAAGTTAAAGGGGTCATATGATGCGATTTAAATTTTTCCTTTCTCTTTGGAGTGTTGCAAGCTGTTTCGTGAATAAATAAGATCCCTAAAGTTGCAAAGACTAAAGTCTCAAACCCAAAGAGACTGTGGAGACGCTGTGTTTCGTTGTGAGAGCGAAAATACTTTGTTTGGTCTTCCAAAAGAGGGCACAACTAGAAATCAGTG